TTAAATCTAATCATTTATTTTAATTTAACTTTTTAACGAAAATTAACTTATTTTTTTAAATGTAACTTTATTTTACTTAAATTATTTGAATTAAATTTATTTATTTATTTAAATGCATATTAATTTAACTAGATATTTTAATTTATTTTTATTTTATTAAAATTTTATTTATTTATTTAAATAAAATAATTTATTTTACTTCATTTACTTAAATTTAATTTGTATTTACTTAAATACATATATTTAAATGTAATAATTTATTTTAATTTAACTTTATTTTAATGAAATTTAAATATTTTAGATGAAACACTTTTTTTACTTCATTTATTTTAATTTAATTTGTATTTATTTATTTAAATGCATATATAATAATTTAACTTTATTTGAATTAAATTTAATTTATTTAATTAAATGCAACTATTTATTTTACTTCATTTAAATTGAATTTGCATTTATTTAAATGCATATATTTAAATCGAATCATTTATTTTATTTTAACTTTACTTCAATGACAATTATCTTATTTATTTAAACTATTTATTTTACTTTATTTATTTTTTGTTTACTTATTTAGATGAAACTGTTTATTTTACTTCATTTACTTACATTTAATATGTATTTATTTAAATGCATATTAATTTAACTATATATTTTAATTAAGCTTTTATTTTAATGAAATTTATTTGTTTAAATGCAACTATTTATTTTACTTCATTTATTTTAACTTAACTTGTATTTATTTAAATGCATATATTTTAACTTTGTTTTAATGGAAATTTATTTATTTATTTAAATGCAACTATTTATTTTACTTAAATTGTTTTAATTTATTTTGTATTTATTTAAATGCATATTAATTTAATTATATATCTTAATTTAACTTTGTTTTAATGGAAATTTAATTTATTTATTTAAATGCAACTATTTATTTTACTTCATTTATTTTAATATAATTAGCATTTATTTACATTTAACATTTATTTATTAATGTTTTTATTTAAACATAGCTATTTATTTTAATTGAAATATATATTTTTTTATTAATAATTATTATTACATTATTTAAAAAAAAACACAGAAAAAATGTCTTTGACAAAGTCTTTTTATTGTATTTTCTTATAAATCCACAGGGGAAAAATGCATTATTTATATACAAAACTGTACAATTATTTGTGCAGTCTGAATATAGAAATCTGACAGCAGATGCAGCTGATATAAACCGAAGGCCACTGAGTTTACCATCATACACTGATAATAACGAAGGCAAGATTGAAAAGTGCGTCGATTCGGCACATTAAAGACGCGTAACACACATTCATTATATTCAGTCTCAGCTCTCATCAACACTTCAACTCAAAAATGAGCAATATTTGCACATAAATCACTCATCAAGTGCAATAACTCGATGTTTGGCACGTCAGATATCATGAAAACATACAGAAATCACATCCAATGGCTCAGAGATCCACACCAGTGAGCATCTGGAGAAACAGTGCGTTAAACGTGAAGATTCACTATTAATACGGTGTGTTTTAGTGCAATATTATAATACATTCACTGCTGGCCAGGAGATTTACAGCAGTGGGATTTTTATTATGTTTTTATTTAGAATTAAATTTAATAAGATGATTAACCCTGCATTTATTTGATTTAAAGCATACAGCAAATACTGTAAAAATCTGAAATGTTTTTACTATCTACTATAACTGGTTTGTGTCTGAATATATTTTAAATATGAATTTATTTTTGTGACTTAAAACTGAATTTTTAGCATCATTACTAGTCACATGATCATTCGGACGTCACTATAATATGATCAAAACAAATATTTTATTGTTCTTATGTTGAAAACAGTGGACTATAATCATAAATAATTATATTCTTCAGCTTTTTTGGGGTGAATAGAAAGTTTAAAAACAGCATTTATCTGAAATATTAATCTTTTTTGACATTATTAATGTCTTATTCATCAATTTAATCAAATTAAAGCATCCTTGATAAAAACAAATATTAATTAAAAATGAATGTATAAAATGATTCTTACTGTGCACTTTTAAACGTTGTACACTGTTAAAAGCTTTTTATTTCAGAAAATGTTCATTAAATATAATCATTAAATTATCCAGAAAAAAATTATATATATCATAATCACCAGTGATCCAGCCTTTATAGATCACTAGAAACACTCACTATTACTGGAACTACAGTTCTGCCACTGAACTGCACTACATTTCCCATCAGGCACCTCACTCACACACCAGTTCCCGATCATCCATTAGATTAGTCCTGAACAGCTTCAGCTGTGTGTGATTGCAATCAAGAGAAATCTGGGCCAAGTGTGTGAGTGAGGTGCCTGATGGGAAATGTAGTGCAGTTCAGATCTACAAAGGCAAGATCACTGGTGATCGGGATGATATATGTTAGAAATGTTAATTAAAATTACATTTATATATTTATTATAATTGTATACTATTATTATTATTATATATTCATTCATTTTCTTTCACCTTAGTCCCTTTATCAATCAGGGGTTGCCACAGTGGAATGATCCACTAACTATTCCAGCATATGTTATACGTAGTGAATACCCTTCCATCTGCAATCCATCACTGGGAAACATCCATACACTCTTGAACTCACACACATTCAGCAATTTAGCTTATTCAATTCCCCTATAGCGCATGTGTTTGGACTGTGGGGGGAAACCAGAGCACCCGGAGGAAACCCACGCCAACACAGGGAGAACATGCAAACTCCACACAGAAATGCCAACTAACCCAGTCGGGACTCAAACCAGCGACCTTCTTGCTGTGAGGCGATCATGCTACCCACTGCGCCACCGTGACGCCCATGTTTAAAAATGTTTATTTTGATTATATAATAACTATTATTATTATATCATATTAATAATGTTATGATTAATATTATCAATAGTTGTAAATAGTAGTTATATATATTAACAATAGTAATTATTATATAACTATAATAAATAAATATAATTAAATAATTATAATAAACATTTTTAAAGAGCAAATCAGCATATTATAATGATTTCTGAAAGATCATAAGCCTAGAGTAAAGATAATAAAAATCACTAAAATAAATTACATTTTAAAATATAGGCTAATATAAACCAGTTATATTAAATAGTAAAAATATTTCAGATTTTTCCTGCTTTTACTGTACTTTGGATCAAATCAATGTAGGTTGGGTGAGCAAAAAACAAAAACATTAGAAATGTGATTGTAAAGCTGATGTCCAGCAGTGTTCTGAGTTACGATGCGAGGTTATTGTGTTATGATTTTAGCATCTAGTTTAAGGAAAGCCGATACGAACACATGAAATGTAACATATCAAAACATAAAGGGTGATCCTTCCTGCTCGACAATCAACAAACAGACTGAACACTCCAATACTTCTGTTAAAAGAGTTCAGTAACACTAAAATAATACTCGAAATTCAGTCAGCGTTTAGTGTTGGAGGAGCACGGTCCACATTTACACCAGTACATGAAGACGGCAGAGTATCATCACCTACACAAATCCACAAACACTAACTCAATACAGCTTAATATTAGTATCTCACACTCATAAAATCACAAAGGCACAGTGAACTGACGGCACCTGCTGATTCAAATAGACCAGTTTCTCTTAAAGGCACAGCGCGCTCACACACTAATCTCTGTGTTGTTTTTAGAGAAGGAGAAGATCCTCCTGTGTGAACTGACGGTTTGGTAACACTAATATGAACAGAAGCTTGTGTTTGGCCTTTAAACGTTATGAACTCAGTGTGTGTGAATATTAAAGCTGCTGTTAGTGATTTCAGGAGCTTCATAGACTTGAAACGCTTCAACCCCTGCTCAGTAAAAGACTCCGCCTACTTAAAAATATTTTCTGACAAACCCCGCCCACTCATATAAACATACAGTGACAAGCACAGCCCCATTTGCATACTGTGACAAACCCCACCTTGCAAACCCCGCCAACTTTAAAAACACATTTCCTAACAAACCCCGCCCAATCAAACACAAATATACGTCAACAGACAATTTGCATATTGGGACAAACCCCACCCACTTAAACACATTTTTTTGGCAAACCCCCCGCAAACTTTAAAAACATTCCATAACAAACCCCGCCCAAGCAAACACAAGCCCAGCCCACTAAATATACATAAGTCCCCCCCATACTCACATCACACATACTGTGACCAACCCAGCCTCATAAACACATTTTCTGGAAAACCCCGCCCACTTAAAAATATCTGACAAACCCCGCCCATTTACAGAACATATTTTCTAGCAAACCCCACCCACTCAAACAAATTCTGACAAACCCTGCCCACTCAAACACTCATTCTCTTTTAAACTCTGCCCACTTAAACTTGCATTCTCTTTTAAACCCCACCCACTTAAACATGCACTCTTTTTAAAAAACCCCGCCCATTTAAGCATTTGCTGGCATTTCCCACAAACTTAAAAAACACATTTCCTGGCTAACCACGCCCACCCCACCCACTTAAACATGCATTCTCTTTTAAACCCCGCCCATTCAAACGCGTTTTCTTTCAAGCCCCACCCACTTACAGATTATCTGACGTTTGCGGCTTAACAAAGTGAGTGTGTTTGTTTTAGTGGGCGGGGTTTAATCAGTTGTTTGTTTTAGAGGCGGAGTTTTACACTGAAGATGTTTGCTTTTGTGGGCGGGGTGTAACAGGTGGTGTTTGTTTTGGTGGGCAGCGTTTAACACTGAGAATGTCTTTGCTTTAGTGGGCGGGGTTTAACACTGAGGGTGTTTTTAGTGGGTGGGGTTTAACACTGAGAATATCTATGTTTTAGTAGGCGGGGTTTAACACAGAGGATGTGTTTTAGTGGGTGTGGTTTAACACTAAGAATGCCTATTTTATGAGGCAGGGTTTAACACTGTGGGTGGGGTTTAATACAGATTATGTTCGTTTCAGAGGCGGAGTTTAGCACAGAGGGTGTTTATTTTTGTGGGCGGGGTGTAACAGATGGAGTTTGTATAAGTGGACAGGGTTTAAACTGTGGGTGTGTTTGTTTTAGTAGGCGGGGTTTAACACTGCGCGTGTTTGTTTTAGTTTAGTGGGTAGGGTTTAATGCTGTGGGTGTGTATTAGAGGGCGGGGTTTAACATTGTGGGTGTGTATTAGTGGGCGGGGTTTAACAGAGTCACCTGACCTTTATTATTTGCCTGTTCCTCTCAGTAAAGCAGCTCTGACATCTACATCATATAAAGCGCTACAGAAAAACCGACTGGACAGAGTGTGTGTAACCGTAGTGATGGACACTGAGGGCTGATTGTGTCATTTAGGACAGGCTCTAGTGTTATTTCTAATATCTATTTTAACGTAAAATCTATTAAATCAGCTTTTATGCAGCTGAAAGTGTTTAAATATGTAACTGTAGAGATGACCTGAAGTGTGTGTGTGAGCAGAAACAGATGACTTCAGTCCTGAGGAAGAGTCAGTGACACCTTCATGACCACACACACACACACACACACACACACACACACACACACACACACACACACACACACACACACACACACACACACACACACACACACAGTGCTCAAACTACTGACAGTGCTTGATAGACAGCATCTGACACACACACGCGCGCACACACACATTCAGCAGTGGTTTAAGATTTGTCCACGGGCGTCATGCCGATGTAAGTGCCGTTTTTCTCGTCTTGATCGTCCACTTTGGCACTCACAGGAGCATATGATGTGTCTTTCTTTGCAGAAGGCTAAAAAGAAGAAAGAACAGGATTTAGCATGTAAACTCAGTGTGTGTGTGTGTGTGTGTGTGTTTGTGTGTGTTTTATCAGTCTAAAACATGCTTTATGCAGAAGTGCAGTCATTTGAGACACATTATGAGTTCACAGTTGTCTATTCATACACTCAAGAAAAGTGTTTAAAGCTTAAATCAGCAGCACACGTCACTTGATTAAGCAGATGAAGTCAACTACACTGTAAAATATCTCAGAAAGTGAGCAGTTTTCCATATTCTTCCAGGAGCTGTTAACCTTGAAATGCTGCATAAAGTGTCTTCTCTGCACATGTGTAATAGTCTGCAGTGCTAAAGTGTGTGTGTTGGGGTTGTATATTAGGCTACAGACATCTTGTAATAAACTGCTGCACATTCTCGGTTATTTTACACACTTATTTCTCTAGATTTCATTTATTATATAATTTCAAACCACTAAAATGCCACTAATAGTCACTTTGTTAAACTGCAGAGTTGAATTTTCATCATCAGAAGTGGACAGAGCAGAGATCAACATCCCATAATGCAATTGACTACCGCAAATAAACACTAAACACTTGAGAATCCCTAAATAATTCTTCACTAAACATATATTTTTTTCAGTGCAGTTTCACATTTCTTTGAGTTTTTGATGTTTTAATTGGAAACAAATGCACTGTATGAATGCATTATTACATTATGTTTGTTTATTTTAAATATTAAATAAAATTTTAATTCTGTACAACTAACAATATGTCTTACATTAGGTTTATTGGTTTGTTTTAATTCAAAATGTGTGATATAAATTCATCATTTTTTATTTGTAATTTAAAAAGTATAAATTATATACTTTTATAAAGTGGCTTTTTGCCATATTTTGATATTATTCATTCATTCATTCATTTTCTTTTCGGCTTAGTCCTTTTATTAATCCGGCGTCACCACAGCGGAATGAACCGCCAACTTATCCAGCATGTTTTACGCAGAGGATGCCCTTCCAGCCGCAACCCATCTATGGGAAAATGTTGATATTATGCGTTTTCATACTTATATAATGTGATGTGATGTATATAATATAATGTGCTTTTTAAATTCTAATATTGTGTTGTTCACATTCGCTTTATTCTTACTTATTTACATTTAGAGTTTTATGCAAAACAGTGTGCACCTCTGATAATTTTCATAATTGCAAGCCATAACCGGCTGGACTTTCAAATCAGCTTATTCCTTTGGATATATTTTATACCCTGGGGAAAAAGCAACATTTCAGTTCTGACAACATTTATTAAATCAACAGATGCGATGCCGTTTAAGTCTTAACTAAAACAGACACGTGCAAAAATTTGGGCACCCCAACAGAATAATGCCATCAGTGTTTTGTAGAGCCACCTTTTGCTGAAATACCAGCATGTAGACGCTTCTTATAGTCAAGGAGAAGTGCCTGAGTTCTTGCTGAAGGCGTTTTGGGCCATTCCTCCTTGTAGAATTTCTCCAGTTCAGTCAGGTTTGGAGGATGCCGAGCAAATCAATTCATAGATGTTTAAGTCTGGGGACTGGGATGGCCATTCTAGAAGATTGTATCGTGTCTGAGCATGATTTCCTTGGTAGATCTGGAACTGTGCTTTGAGTCATCGTCCTGCTGAATCATCAAACCCTGCCGCAACTTCAGCCTCTTGACTGATTCCTGAACATTGTACTTTAGGATCTGCTGATACTGGGTGGAATCCATGTGACCATTAACTCTGACAAGGTTTCCAGTAGCTGTGCTTGCCACACATCCCCACAGCATGATGCACCCTCCACCATATATTACAGTAGGGAGCAGGTTCTTCTCCTGGAATGCTGTGTTCTTTATCCACCATGCAAAGCCCCTATGGTTGTGGCATCTGTCCACAGTATATTTTTCCAAAATGATTCAGGCTTGTTCAGATGAGCCTTCGCAGAAAAGGCTTCTCCGCCTTCCACTGAGCTGTTCTGTGTGAAGAGTGTGCTGGACTGTGGAATGATCTACAATCACATTATCAGCAGCAAGATGTTCCTGGAGCTCTGTGGAGGGGGTCTGTGGTCTGTCTGGGACCACTCTAACCATTCTTCTCCTTTGCCTTTCAGGTGTTTTTCTTGGCCTAGCACACATTTTCTTCTCAAGAACTGTTCCTGTGGACTTCCATTCTCTTACTATATTTCTGACTGTGGAGATGGGGACTTTAAACCTTTGTGATAGCTCTTTGCATCCTTCTTCTGTTTTATGTTGATGAATTATCCTAATTTTTAGGTCATTACTAGGTTCTTTTGAGGTTCCCATGTTGCTACTTTCAGGTTCCTAATAATTAGAAGCACAACTAGCAATCAGCTATCTTAAATATCCCTTTTCATGATTGGTTGCACCTGTGTTAGGATTGTTAAGCTTCGCTGACTCGGATCAATTTTGTGTTGTAATCAATCAGCATTAAAAAGCCACACAAAAGAGAGGGGGCCCAAACTTTTGCACAGCCTATTTTTCAGTTTCAATTAAATTTCACACATGTTAGTACTGCTACACTACGTATTTCTGCTTGGAAAAACATGTATGTTTGTAATGTAATGTTTATTTGTTATGTTTTTTTGAGTGCATAAACTGTTTACGTGGAATGCAGTTATGAACGTGCACCGCTGGAGTGAGGTGTGTGTAAACAGGTTAATGAGTGTGTGTGGACTTACAGCAGTGCAGTGGAAAGCCTCAGCAAAATCAAATCGCTTCACTTCAGTCTAAATAAAGCAGAGCAGCAGAAAAGCATGAGTTGCGCAGGTTAGACATGTTAATGAGCAGTGATTGACAGCAGTGTTGACCAATGAGAGCAGCGTGAGCAGGTTAGTCGCATCACGGCCAGTTAGTGAACCAGATTTATAATTAGCAACACTATCACTAACAAAACAGGCACACTGAAGCATGCAGCATGCTTTTAAATAGACTAATACATTAAATAATATTTGTAATTGTGACCCTGGAGCCTTAGGTATGATCTATAATTATAGAAAAAAACTATACTAAAATTATCAGATTATTAAGTAAAGATCTTGTTCAATGAAGATATTTTGCACATTTCATGTTTACATATGTCAAAACATATTTTTAAAATTATTAATATGCATAATAATTGCTAAGAACGTAATCTGATCATCTTCAAAGGAGATTTTCCCCATCCTTTAGATTTTTTGAAAACCTTCAGATTCTAGGTTTTCATATAATTGTATTTTATTCAAATATTGTCCTAATAAACCATACATCAATGCAAAGATTTTTTATTCAGATTTTAGGAGATGTCATAATCTCAATTTTCTAACATGACTGGTTTTGTGGTCCATAGTCACAATTTACATGCAGTTTATCCACAATTTTAAAACATAATCTTAAAAAAACAAACATGCTTGCCAAATTGAAAAAAATATTTATGCATTATCAAACACTGAAAATAATTAAACATGCAATGAGCACTTTTATTTCTTCTAGTAAGACTTCTAGTACCTCTATAATGTAATTCTTCTATTTAGATTACAGACTACAAATGCAATTTTTTCCCCTCGTTTTCCTTCCAAGACCCATTTTTTGTCATTTTTTCGCTCCAAAGGTTCCAAAACATTCCAAAAGAGAACGTTCCAAAGGTTCCAGCAGAGAATATTGCAAAAGACAACATTCAAAAAGAGAATGTTCCAAAGATTCCAAAAGAGAATGTTCCCAATAGAGAACACTTCAATATTGAACATTCCAAAAGAATTTGTTTCAAAAGAAAACATTTCAAGAATACCTTTCAAAAGAGAATGTCCCAAAAGTTTTAAAGGAGAATGCTGCAAATTTTCCAAAAGAAAATGTTCCAAAAGATCATTGCAAAAGACAACAGTCAAAAAGATAAAATTCTGAAAGAGAATGTTCAAAAGGGAATGGGAATGTTCCAAAAAACTAAATTTCAAAATAACATTCCAAAAGAAAGTTATTTAGATTTATTTAGAATGTTAAAAGAATGTTATTTAGAATGTTCCAAAAGAGAACATTCCAAAAGGGAATGAGAATGTTGTGAAAGACAAAATTCCAAACTAACATTCCAAAAAAAGAACATTGCAACAGAGAACATTCCAAAATATATTTATGTAACTTAAAGTGAACATAAGAAAAACATTTTAAGAACATCAGTTCAATTTCTAACACTGATTTTCTCAAATATGTTTTTTTTTTCTCGACAGCAGTGAGCGTGTGAATAAGAATATAGACTTATAAAGGTTATTGTGGAAGAATAGCGATTTGTTTCCCATCAAACCCACAGTACAGGCACATAAAGATCCACTAAATGAGTTTGTGTGAACTGTGCTGACAGTAAATGTCAGATTTATGTGGGAAACTGAAGCGTAAGCTGGATTAGAATGGATAATATTTTTTCCAGACTTCATCACCCCAGGTTCCCACTTTAAGGCAAATATGAAACTCCCAGACTGAAAAGAAACATGAAATGAACAGAAACAGTTGTGCTTCTATATTAATAATTCTAAAATAATGTTAAAACAACAACACACTATTACATGCTTTTAGCTTGAATATCATTCTGCATGTCTTTAATAGCCACTATGACAACAACAATGCATAATTCACCTCAGATTCAGATAATGAGCTTTTTTTGCATTTTTGACTGTACATGTAAGTAGTATTACTATTTGTGTGGCTTTTAAGTACTTCCCATTTACTGTAGCTTTTCTATTGTCTAATTTTTAACACTCCAAATGACCACTTCAAAGCTCTTAATTGATATGATCCTATTAAAATGATATTATAATTCATATTAGCTTAAAGCTCATAAAACTTATATTAACATAAATGTATTATAAAATGTACATTTTATATATATATATATATATATATATATATATATATATATATATATATATATATATATATATATATATATATATATATATATATATATATTTATATATAT